GCAAAAGTGTAGAAAGAATCAGTCCTATAAGTAGAGGGAGTTGAAAGGACTGTTAGAGGAAGAACATGAAGTAGAATTAAGGGGCCATGAACAAGTAAAAATTAAGAATAAACTAAAACAGTAAGGCAGAAAAAGTGGTAAGAAAACCAATGGGAAGTTATAAAAAAGAAGACAAAGGACAGTAACTGAATTATGTACATGCAATATTAGATTCAGGAGGTCCCTAAGGCTGCCTTTAGAACACCTTGAAGTGCCACGATAATACCTGTATTAGATTTCCACAAGATTCCATTTGCCTTTTGGCCATAGGATCCTTACAATAATTTCCCCTATTCTTCATGTTAGTCTTTGGGAGGATGGAATGAGTGCCACAGGGGAAGACCATGCCCAATCATAAAGGTTCCTTGTGATTACTATCCATCAAAAACACTGGAGACACTACAGATTGGATCCTGTGTGGCATTCTTTATAGCCATATGTCATCGTGTTCTTCATCTGAGAATAATAATCTTATATAAAAAATCCTTCCCCAGAAATGCTGAAAAATTAATGACACTATTAAAGAGACCCTCCCTTTAATAATTAATTTATCCAAACACTGGGTAACTACCAAATTCAAACACAAGAACAATTAAGGAAAAATGAGTCTTGTACCTGAAACTATTATAATATGGTATACCAATTATATTGAAGTTAACCATTTTAAATAACAAAACAGAAAATGAAACATTATAAAGGAGCTTATCTTTACCCAAAGAAAATTTTTTTAAAAGTAATCTAGATTAATAAAAATAATTCAGTCTACACACAGACAAAAAAGGTAATCTATATTTATTGAGGTGATCACTTTGTAAGTTATATAAGTGTCTAATCACCATTGTACTGAAGCTAATATAATATTTTAATTTTCTATAGAAAAAAAAGTAATCTGCATTTCTTGACATGGACAGATATCCAAAGAGGAAAGGCAAATTCTAAGATTGTGTGTGTATTCCATCTTTGTAAAACAAATACATTTAATGTATGTTTGTATGTGTTTGGAAAAAGGCTGGAAAGATAAAAACCAAACTGTTCTCTCTACATATATGTTTATACGCATGTGTATATGGTTTTTATAATTAAAAAAGTAACATGTAACATCCCTACCTTTAAAGAAACGGATACACAGGCCAATAAAACACCTTCTGGAGATGTTAAATAATACCTTCAATAAATTAATACCTGTCAACTTCAATATAAATGAATCTTGAGTCATAAAAAATGGTATGATTATTTAAACACATTTATACAGTATTTATCTTTGTTTCTTTTTTATGCTATCTTATGTAGGTATAAATTAGCTCTGGCATAAGACATAATATTTAAAGAAGCAATGGATTTGAGAATGAAGGTTCTATCACAGTCTGATTTTACAAACTACAACTTTGGTCTTAACTAAATATAGTCAGCTCTATATATCTGTGTAGTAAAAGGAAATCACAATTCTATAACTAACAAAATAATTGCATACCAAACTTGGATTTACATCTAAATAAATCTCATTCTGATGGCCTTAAAATCTACACTAATAAAAGACAAAGATGCTAATTGACCATACCTTCGCTACGCCCTAAGCCACACCCACCAGCCAATCAGAGCAACTATATGCAAATTAACCCAACCAAGATGGCGGCCGGCAGCCACAGAGCTGGAGCAAGCAGGAGGCTTGGTTGCCCCAATGATGGAGGAAGCCAAGCTTCCCGCCTGCTGCAGCCCAGCTCTGAACTCCACTCAAAGCAACAAAGTTTCAATTATAGAAGATAAATAAACCCCAGATACCTGCTCTCAGCCGGCCATGGCCACAGAGCTGGAGCGAGCAGGAGGCGTGGGTTGCCCCTGGCGATGGAGGAAGCAAAGCTTCCCTCCCGCCTGCCCTGGCCGGCTCTGAGCTCCTCTCAAGGCTACAAAGTTTCAATTGTAGAAGGAAAATAAATCCCAGAATAAAAAAAAAAGAAAAAAGGAGAGGCTGGGAGCTTCCATCGCTGGAGGGGTTTGGCCAGGCTGAAAAAGGCCCTCAGCCCCTCACCCAGACTGGCCAGGCACCCTAGTGGGGACCCCTACCCTGATCCAGGACACTCTTCAGGGCAAACCAGCCAGCCCCCACCCATGCACCAGGCCTCTATCCTATAT